GCGGGGGGGCTGAGAGTCTTTGCAAGCCGCGAGCTCTGTCGGCTCACAGTGGCTAGGGGCCCTCGGGGACAGACGCGAAGGTGGTTCGCAGCCGGAAGCCGGCCTGGGGAGCAGCGCGCTGCCTCGGTGGCATCAAACGAGCCTTTGCAAAGCTCAGAGGGGCGTTACTGCCTCGGCAGACACATCAACCGCCTCGGTGCCGCGCTGCACGGGCCTAGCGCCGCAGGCAGAAGGCAGCTGGCTTTCCGGGGGGACAGCATGAACGGCCACGCTCCCCCGGCGGAGGAGGAGCAGGACAGGGTATTAATGGCACTTGGAGCACTAATTTGATCAGATAAGGAAAGAGCGATCTCTCCGGCGTGGCCTGCCAGGGAGGTAGCCAATCGCTAGCGTGCTGGCTGCATCACCAGCCCTTTGCCTGTACCATCCCGGGAGCAAAAACTGACCCCGCATCCCGTACATCATCCCTCCCTCCCCCCCACACACACAGCTGCTGCAAAGTCCCGGGGTCCGGTCTGGCTCTCCGAGCAAAGAGCCGCGTTGCCCCAGGAGCGTAACTTCCGCCTCCCGCGCGGGAGAGCAATACTTGGTACGTGCCTCCGGCCGCTGGGGGCGCTGCCAGGCCAGTCGGGGTGTGAAGCCGCTGGCCCTGCTCTAGGCCCTAGGGAGGGTAAGATGCCTTTGCTGTCGACCGCGGAGCATCCAGATTACCGCGCTGAGCCGACAAACAGCTGATCGGCTCAGCGTGGCAGCCATTTTAATTTTAATGAAGCGGCGATGATTTCAATCGCTACTTCGTTTCCCTATGTTGGGTTGCCTAATCTACATGCCTCCGTCGCCAGAGGCATGTAGTCTGACACACCCTCAGAGTCCTGCCCCCCCGCCCTCCACCCACCCTGGGAGTGACCAGACAGCCAACGCAGGATGAGGGGCCACGGGAGGTGGGCTGGGTTGTGGAGTGGCTATGGGAATAGAGCGCGAGCCGCACGGATGCTTTCCCCTCCTCCCCCAGCGGGGAATCCGAGCCAGGACTTCCCCCCACCTTCCTTACCAGCACCCAGCGCTCTGCTCCCAGCACGGGCACGCCCGGCCTTCCCTGACCCAGCTGGTGCGGACAGGCCGGCCTAGGAGCTGGCGTGTGAACAGGAGCAAACCCGTGGGAACCGGCGCGGAGGAGAGGGGGTGCTGAGAGCGGAATCATTGAAGTTGCCTTCCCTAGCCCCACCACAATCCTAACGGGCACCCCGGTGAGTCAGGAGTGAACAGAGGGGCTGCAGGAGGGCCATATGTACAAGATGCAGCCCACATCTGAAGCAAAGAGCTCACCATGAGCTGCAGACCAAATACCAGGCATAAAGAGCAAGTGCTGTGCAGCAAGGAAGCTGCCAGTGCTTCTTCAGAGCAGCTCAAACTGTGGAGGAAGAACCCACTGAAGGTGACCCACTCAGGATTTTTTACCCACTGTTTCATTTCCAACGCTGATGTGATTCAAAAACAGCAGCTACTTTGTGTGTGTCAGATCTGAGGGAAAATATTTAATGCAGGAGTGGGGAACCTCTTTTGGGTGGGGGGCCACTGACCACAGAAAAATCCATCCGGGGAGAAAGACCCTCCCCCGCATTCCCCCGCACACCAGAGCCTGGGGGGCACAAGCTAGTGGATTCTGTGGGTTCTAGCCCCGTGGTGGGCAGTGAGGGGCTGGAGCACCAGTGCAGGGTCCCCAATGCGGGGGGGGGGCCCTGAGCCACGGGGGCCACATCTGTCCGTGGCGCCTGAGGTTCCCCACCACTGATGTACAAAATCCAACATGTTGACACCGGGCAAAGGGGTCCCAGTAAATAACTCTAATTAGGAACAACTCTCTCTCTCTCTAACAGAAACAACTACACACATGCACGCACGCACACACATGCACGCACGCACTCGCACACACACGCACGCACTCACACACACATGCGCACTCGCACACACATGCACGCACACACATGCACGCACGCACTCGCACACACATGCACGCACGCACGGAAAAGCAGTTACCTGTCAACTACAGGACTTGAATAAAGACATTAATTGGTTGACACACTACAAAGCCAACTTCCCCTGCCTTTAACCTCCACATTTTCACATCAAAAGCCATGAAGGGGACACAACCAGCCCACTTAATTAGCCTTATTAACACGGGTCCGACAATTGACAGGTACTACTTCTGCTGTTATATATATATATATATCTTGGTTTCTGTTATTTCCACTCCAGCTCATCTGAGCAAGTGGGTTTCACCCATGAAAGCGCACGATACTATACGTATTTTTGTTAGTCTCTAAGGTGCCACAGGACGACTCGTTTTTAAAGTTAGACTAACACAGCGACCCCGCTGAAACTTTCTAAATAGAAGTCAAACAGGTCATGTAGTTTTACTGTCTCAGCGATAGTGCAAATGAATTAAACAGCTGCATGTCTGACTTGTACTTTTATCGAGTGTCCTGCAATATTTGCAGTTGTCCTTAAAGCCTCCTGCTACGGATAAGTCAGGAGAATCTCAGCTTTCATTTAAAAACGGACACAAGGCCCAGACCCTCAAAAAGGGATTGATTTTAACGAGACGCAGTGTCTAAATGCTGGCGACACAGTTTCTAGCCATCAGGATTGTGGAGAAAAGCTTCAACATACGAAGTGAAGACAGCGCAATAGCTCAGAAACCAGGAGCCAAATCTCCAGCCTCCCAAATTCACGTATTTATTAACATGATGAGTTTTATTCCAGCCTTTTGCTCCTGACTTCTAGCTCGTGATTCTGGAACACCTGGGCTGGAAACAGCTGAGCGGCTGCTGGAATGTAGCACTCACCACAGCTGGGAGACTCACGCGGGTTTCTGCATCAGAAACATGCGAATCTTTCTAAACACGATGCTCCCGTCCTGTCTATTTTTAGGGTGAAAAAGCCGCCGGTGTCGGAGCCGGTGTGCACTCCTTGTCACCACACAGCCTGACCTGCTCAGCACTGCGTACCTCTTGCTGCTGCTGCGTATGCGGCGTGCCAGCTCTGGGTGCCAGGCTGCAACTCACACGTCTGCCGTCATTTTTACATCATCTTTTCCAGTGGGCTGGTTGTTCCGAACGGCAGAGTTTGATCAAAACCAGAGGGCACTAACAAAGCGCCGTGGAAATGGCTTTTAACACGAAGGGTTGGACACTTGTCTCTGAGACCACTGTGGCTTTCTAATTACTGTTTAAATGCAACGTCTCGTCACTGCCTTGCAAAATGGCCACGAAAACAGACCAGCCCAGGCATCCGATCTCCTTGTCTAGCCTTTCTATGGTGAGACCTCTGCCATCTAGTTTCCACATAGTTTAGCTACCTATTCACCCGGCTACCTGTGATCTCCCTATAGTTATCCACCTATCCTTGCTCTGTGTGCGTCCTATGGTGTCTCTTTCTCCCCTGCATCTTTCATCACAGGATTGAAGCACCGAACAAAGTTAGACGCACAAAAACCAAACAGAGACACCAGTGAAAAAAACCCAAACAGTCTTCGACTTGCCCATCAAAACACACAGCAAATGCCCCAGGCTTTTGCAAGACTGCTTGAACAATCAGTAATACTTAGCGCCTACAGCACGTTTCATCCGGACCAGGAAAGTGCATTGTCAACGCCTCCCCTTAAAAAGTTGAGTGTCAGGTGCTGAAAGTCACAAGCGTGGCTTAAAATATCATGATTATCTAGAGGGGCATTTTCGGGGTCTTTTTAGTTGTGTCTTGGTCCTCGAGCCGGGAGGGCTCCTCTTTTCAGGCTTTTCTCTGAAAGCAGGAAAGTTTTGAGTCTCACGTCATCCCCCTGACTCCGGGAGCTGGGGATTTAAAAGAAAACGCCAGCTATTGCAGGACTCAGTGTAACTTTACGAGACCTGGCAACACTGCAGCCATGCCATTGCCCTCACTAACAGGAGCTCCCAAATGCTTACAGATTCGTTCTTCCAGGGCAGGAACGGAGGTGGCGGCAGCCTCAGTAGCCTCTCTCTGGCTTTCTTCTAGCGGGCAGCGCTGGTCATCCATTCGGCTGCTCTGGAACTTGCTCAGCAGGTCAAAGAAGCATTCCTCGTCGGGAGGGGGCCGGCTGATTTTCTGCAAAGAAAGAAACCGGAAGAAATTGAGCAATCCAAAGCAACTCCTTGCCTCTGCAACTGGTGGCGTCCACACAGGTTCCCTGCCCTGCCCTACGCCGAGCGGAGGCCCGATTTCCTGCTGCTCGGAGCTGCAGAGTGGAGTTGCCGGAGAGAGTCAGCGTTATTTGAATCGCTGCGTGGCTCCGCCCCCAGCCAGACGATAGGTTAGAGCAGTTTGGGGGCTGCTCTAAACTAAGGATGTTAAAATGCAGCTAATTGACTAGTCGACTAGACGATGGAATTTCCATCGACCAGTCAACAAGTCAATAGGCACTTCCCAGCAGGGCTCTTGTACATTTCAAAGCCATGGAGGCCAGGGTCAGCGGGGGACTGTCAGTCTCCCGCTGACCCCAGGCTCCATGCTATGGGCTCCCCTGCCCCTTTGAAACAGCCACCTCCCCGTGATTCAAAGGGGCAGGAGGGGAGTCCCCAGCTGATCCCAGTTCTGGGGAAATGCTGCGGCAAGAAAGACCAACCCCTCCCCGTGCCGTACACCCTGGCAGAGTTATCTTCCCCCAGGGCTTTATGTGCAAAGGTCCAAGGACTGCAGCGGCCACTGCTCCTTTCCGTTCCACCGAGGAAGCTGTGTGGCGAGCCGCTCCGCTAAATTATTCCGTCCTGCGCGCGCTGACCCCGGGAACGCTGGACGCCTTCCAAGCCGCCTTTGGCGGGGGCTGCGTTTCCAACCGCCCTCGGGGCTCCTAGCAATGGGCCGAAAGCTTGCCCTGCGCCGGAGCATCGTGAGCGCACGGAGGCGTTCTCGTCCAGCCCGCCAGGAGGGCACAGTGGCTGGGAGGCGAGGCTGGTTCTAAAGGAGCGATTCTGAGAGCGGGAGGGATTCCGTGGCCCGGCCACGGGAGAGGGGCTGGGTTCCTGAGCAGCCACGGGAAAGTGAGGGGAGTCAGCCCGTGGAAACAGAGCCATCCCTAGGATGTATGGACTATTAAACCGGTGCCCTGTGCCTGTCTGCAGCCGGGGGGAGCAAGGGCTTTTTTGAGCTGCGATTTTATAATCTCCAGCAAGCCACTGATGAAATATTTGAAAGCACACTTCAAACGAAGGCCCTGTCGGCTCTCCCGGTAAAGTCAAGAAACCGACCATGTAGACCTGGGGTTGGCAAAGGCCTGTGACGCTCATTACCGCTCGAACGGCTCTTTCCCAGGCTCGCCGCTCTGCTAAGCGCTCCGTCAGGCTTTGTCACTTTCTGGAGAACTACATCCCCGTTGGAGGGAGCAGGTGCCACGCAAGAGGCAGGAGGGTGGACGTGAAGACCCAGCGGTGCCCCAAATTTTGGGGCGCCCTACACAGCCGCCTATTCTACATGTGGCCGAGGAGGGCCCTGGCGTGGAAAGTTTAGCATCCTGAGAGGGGAAACTGAGGCGGAGCTCAGAGAGGGATACAGGATGCCAGCGAACAAGATGGGCCACTGGGAATCACACAGAACCCCGTCTGGTGTGCTGGCCCCGTCTCCCCTTTCTTCCTTTGCAAGCTTCTCAGCCCCGTCCGCAGAGACCGCCCGTGCGCCTCTCAAGCCAGCTAAATTTAGACTGCCATAAAGACCTCCACAATTGGAGCTTCCAAGCCTCCTTCCTTCGGTTCTGTTATCCGCAGGAGACCACTGGTTATAACAATCACCAGGCTGCAAATGCCACTCAATTACAGCTCTTCAGGAAAACAATTCCAGCAGGGGAGCCCAAATGAGCCCCTTTCGCCAGGCAGGGCTATATTTAAGCCGTGCGGGATATTAGATTTGCTTCCAAAGCCTCCGTGCACAAGCCCTGCGGCGTGCCCGAGTCCAGGCCAGACAGATGTGTTTTGCACGCCATTCCGAACACGCTGGGCTAATGGAGTAAACACAGAGTCCCCTCTTCCGCCCAGCCAAATGCAGCCGAAGCAGCAGATTTCTCGGAATTACTCAGAACTGAATGTAAAATTAGGAAATGAAAAGAGGCATCTGCCAGGCTCGGGGGGCTCCAACTGTGCTGGGGATGATCTGGTACAATCACACGGCCCAGTCATAGGCGACAGGAAGCAATGGATGACACCAGCGGGCAAGGACGACTCTCTGGTATCCACTCAGTGGCCCGTGTGCAGGGCCCTACGGTCACAGGACGGTAAAAACGGTAAATGTCATGATTTGTGCTATATCAGTCTGATGCAATTATAGGGGCCCAGACCCAAGGAGTTGGGGGGAGGGGTGTTCACTACTCCTACCCTGACTTCGCTGCTGCTGCTGGTGGCAGCGCTGCCGTCAGGGCCGGAGAGCGGTGGCTGCTGGCCGGGAGCCCAGCTCTGAAGGCAGCGCCCTGCCAGCCGCAAGGAAGGCCTAGTATGGTTTTGCCACCCTGCAGAGGTGGCCCTCAGTCAGCAGCCGCTATTCTCCAGCTGCCCAGCTCTGAAGGAAGCTTGGAAGCAAAGGGGGCGCTACCGCAACCCCCTCCCAAAATAACCTTGTGACTTTCCTGCAACTCCCTTTCGGGTCAGTGCCCCCAGTCTGAGAAGCGCCGTCTCCCCCCGTGAAATCGGTGTGGTCCATGGCAAAAGCACAAAACCGGATTTTGCGGGGAGGGGGACCCATGTGATATGAGCTGGTGGCTGGAATGGAACGGCGGCGCAAAACCGACAAGCGATCGTTTTTTATGAGTATTAAGAGGACCCAGCTCTACCAAGGTATTTTAGGCACCTCACTCCCACTGAAAGCAAAGGCCCCTGAAATCAGGGAGCGGAGGGGGCCTAAATATCGCGGAGGATCCGGTCCCCAGGGTGGTAGGCGGCACAGACACCCAGCCCGAGGAGGGGCGCGGCCCTGAGGCGGTTCTGACCTAAATGGACAAGTCAGGCGCAGGGTGGGCAAAGGGACGAGACCGAGGTGAGTGCTCTGCACACGGGGTGGCTGTGGCGGAGCCGGGGACTGACCTGTGCAGCCATCCGGGGGCTGCCCCAGCAGAGAGGCGATTAACAAGAGGGCCCTGCCAACAACCCCCTTCTCTCCCCTGCTAGAGGTGGGTCCCTGCAGGCCAGGCCAGCGAGCGGGGCACTGTGGAGCCCTGCCCTGGAGAAAGGATTTTTAGTGCCCACGTTAGTGGCTCTGGAGCCGCACCCCGGCACAGCGTTCCCGGACCACAATCGAAGCGGTGCGGGTCCAAGCCGAACGAGGCCGGGCCCTCGGGCGAGAGAGACAAGGTCACCCGGCGCTCGCTACCTGCCTGTGCCTAAGTCCATCTTACAGCCCCGCTTCTGCTGTGCGGCTTCTACACATGGCGCTGGCTTGTGTCCAGCTCACCCGCCCAGTTCCACTGGGCTGCGCGGGGATGGGCACCCCTGGAGCAGGACGGCTCTGGGAAGCACCAAGCAGGCTCGCAGCGCTCGGGGAGTTGGGGTGCACTCAAGAGACGTGGGGGACCCCAGGGAAGCCAGCTGGCTCCGCTCCACAGTGCAATGCCCTGCTGGCGATTTGCTCTTGAATGCACCAGCAGCGCCTCAGACAGCCCTTCGAAGCTCTCCCCAGGCAACCCTTTGCTTTCTAGGCTTTCCAGAGCATCTCCAGACGTCAGCTCCTTTCTTCTCACAACGTCCCTGAGAGGCTGGCTGGATCTGTGCCCTGCGTTACGGACTGCAGCGCAGAGGGGTTAAGTGACTTGGCCAAGGTTGCACAGTGAGGCACTGGCAGGGCCAAGAAGAGAATCCAGGGCTATGTCTACACTCGCGGCTTCTTGCATGAGAAATGTGCAAACGAGGCTAAGTGTGGAATATCGCCCAGCCTCATTTGCATACCTAATGAGCCGCCATGTTTTTCAGAAGAGGCTCTTGCGCCAGAAGGAGCTGTCTACACTGCCCCTTCTTGCGCAAGAAAAACCCTCTTGCGCAAGGCTGCGACGCTGATTATTTTCAGGAATAACGGCCTTGCGCAAGAGGGTTTTTCTCGCACAAGAAGGGGCAGGGTAGACAGCTCCTTCTGGCGCAAGAGCCTCTTCTGCAAAAATGGCGGCTCATTAGGGATGCAAATGAGGCTCGGCAATATTCCACGCTTAGCCTCGTTTGCACATTTCTTGCGCAAGAAGCCGCGAGTGTAGACATAGCCCAGGTGTCCTGGCTCCTAGTCCCCAGCTCTGATCTTCAGAATCTGCTTCTCCCACGGACCCGGGTTACAAGACGAAGTGTTGCGTCTTCCTGGTCTTCGCTCATGCAGCCAAGTGCAGCTGCGTTTATTTTCTACCTAAAGCCCATCAACTCTCCCCATCACACTCCCCAGGACGGGGATTCCCACTAGAGGATACCACCACAGGGCTCCTAGCTTGGCCAGTGGAGGGGAACTCCTGGGCGAGGCAAAGCTTAGCTCACACCCCGCGTTACCTCCCGCACCCCGGCTGAGTGCTCTGCTTCTGGAGCGACTGCAGCCCCGTCCCAGGCAGGGAACAGGGCGAGCGGCAGAAAAATCAGCACCAAGGGAACTGGACGGATGCATTCAGCCTCCAGGCCTGGCCCTTTTAGCACAGGGTGCTGAAGACGGAGAGGGCAGCAGAGAGAGGCCTCAACTCATTCAAGATCTCAAGCAACGGCTGCCTAGCGGCAAGGACTCCGTGAATGTCAAGGGCACTGAGGTCAAGCCAGCAAAGCAAGAGAAGTCAGAGCTTGGCTCCTTTGCTGAGGCTGGGACGCCCGTCAGCTTCTCAGCAAACCTCGATGCTACAGGTTGTCCTTTGTGGCACCTAGTCTGGAGCAGGAGACGCTACCCAAGGATTCTGGCGTGGGCCCCTCTCCGGTCTAGCCCTTCGGAACAGGCGAAGGACGCTTGTGAGGAAGGGCAGCTCGGCTGTTTGCGAAGGAGATGGAAAAGCCCCAGAAGAGGGTTGCTACGATGGGGTTAAAGCCTTGGTTTTGGTTCAGTAAATGAAGAAAAATAATTTTCTCTTATGCTAAGCAAACCAGACGAGATACGCTCGCCTTCTATTTAGGGCA